AAGCTAAACCGAAGTGGTGCCACGGTTGCGGCCAACGCTCCTAAGGGATAGTGAAGATTTTTAGAACCGTATCCTACGAACACTTGTAGTATCTTATGTTGGGGTAAGGCCTGGATCAAGCGGGACACTACATCATGTTGAGGGGGAGCTAGAGTCGGACTCGCACGGGATGTCACTGAAGCAGCTGCTTCAAAAATGCTCTTCCACTCTGGAGTGGGCAACACCTCTGGCACCTGCAGACTGGGTGACTCGACCACCCGGCGGCTGGGCTGACTACGAAAGTCAGCCTCGGGCAATGCATCTGCTGATCTCTTCTGCGACCTATGGGAGAATTGGGGACTAGGATTTCCAACCGATGTCTTAAAACGCTTTCGGGTTAGAGGTGGGTCCGCTGATTGTGCCACTAACGCCCTTGTCTTATCATCCTGAATCAGCAGCTGCCTGGCCACATGTCGAGCAAAACCTCCGCAGTATGAGGCCACATACTGCGACACGGCTTTGCCTCCGAGCTCCCGGAGCTTGCCAGCTACGGGTTGGTGATTCGGGTGACCCACACACTGCTTACCCACAAGACTACGAAGAAGAGTAGGACAAGTGCTCACGATGGTCGTTGCCTTTTTAATGGGTCGTTTGCTGACAGGTGTCTGAAGTCCAAAGGCACACATATCGACATTAATCTTTTGGGTTTGGGAGACTACCGGACTTAGGGCAGGCTCTTTTAGCATGGCTGAACCCACGGGTTGCTCAAGGTGGAACTCACGGCCATGTCGCTTCTGCCACTCAAACAGCTTCGTGCAGAGCAGAAGATGTACGGATTCCTTTTGTCGGCCCTCTAACATTTTTTGATTGTAGGTCTGACTTCGGGAAGCATTAAAATGCGACCACGATCCCCACAACCGACAATCAGGAGCAACCCAGATGTGACGAGGCTGCGTTTTCTGTACGACATCCCACAACAGACGTTGCCCTTCTATTGTCGATAGATCTCCCTGCTCCTTGGTGAATCGTCGTGCTTGACCGCCAAGGTCTCGAACACTCTGCGTCAGTCGGCTATCGGGAAAGGC